CAACCCAAAAAAGTTAATGACACACTTGGTGATTAGAGTATTAGAATCTAAACTTTGCATTCTTACTCTTCCAGGCATTGAAAGAGTTTGCCTGCCACCTGATGCCAAAGTTACATACAAGGATGGAACAGATACTGACGTTGATGAAGAAATATTCAGTGACCCCATTAAACCATGCAATGTTTTAGAGAAGGTTTATTGTCCCTAAGGTTGTGATATAAAAGCAAATTAAATAGAGCATCCTACATATTTTACAAAAGGAGTTTATTGCTTTTTGTCTTCACAGGTCTCTGGATGATGTGCTTCAAAGTCTGACCCAAGCTTCATCTCAAATGCATCAACTTCGACAGTGGCATTGTCTACCAAAATGGTAACGATATCTTTTCTGCACCTCTTAACTCTTTCACCCTGCTGGGACATATCTGTGAAATCTGAATATCACCATACATTTCCTTTTCTGTTCATTTCATAGCAGTTTGAAGGTGTATTTCAAAGCAAGTCTGGTGGTGAAGAAGTTCTACAGGAGTTTAAAACAACAGAAACCCAACTGATGCCACATGAAGACAGATGGTGAACATAGTGGTGGCTCACATGATTAATAAACATGGGTAGGTGTGTTTTTACTCATTTTATTCTATGTAAAAATGGACCACTTGTCACTAATCATAAATGAGTAAAGTCCCTTATTTAAAATGGTCTTCTTTGCTAATACCTGTATGTTTTTGAAGCCCTCCTGCTCTGTGTGGCTTGCTTCTAGGTTACCTGGCGTCTCCAGTGCTCCAGCGTGCTTTTGGCAGTGGCGAGGGTCCGGTGGTGGCGTGCCACCCTGGTTTTCAAAACGTTAGTTGGTAAAACTGGGATAAAATCTTAGATATTCTCTATAAAATTATTAAAAGATGTTAAAATATGTTTCGGTTGACGTGTGAGGAGGGATGAGAATTTAATCTTAGGAATATAGATGGCTGTGTGGGGGAAATTGGTTGCACCTACAGGCTCTTCAAACTGTTAGGGTTGGGTCGCTGCTGTCTGTGGTGCTGATGAGGGAGTGATGCTGCTGTCCGTGGTGCTGATGGAGCACCGCCACCGCTCTCCTCCTTCCGCGGTCCGCCTGCTCCTCCGCTCTAGTTCCTCTGTCCTCTCCGGTACGGCACCGCAGTCCAGTGATGGTCCCCTTCCTCCATCACGTAAGTCAGTGTGTTAATAGTTTAGATAAAGGATGTTTAAAACTCTTGTGAAAAACATTAGTCTTCCGAACACGTGTTAAAATACTAATTCAGAGAACCCACAACATTTAAAAAAGAATACTTTTTATTAAATAAATAAATGAATTAAACAAATTGAAATAGCGAGCCAAAACACAGAAACGTTTCAATCCCTCGACGGGATCTTCCTCAGGCGGATGGCTTCCTCACAGAAAATTGAAACGGCAGAGGTGATCCTTCTGTGGAGCTGCTCTCTCTGCCTGTGGGGGGGGCAGTCATCGGGATGCCAGGCTTAAGTCCACGTCAACTGCTGCTGGGACTCGTCAGGGGACGGGGACCGGGTTTCTGCTTCCATCACCATCAGCGGGCTCCATGTCCCCAATCAGGAGATGCAGTCCGGGGGCCAGGGAGAGAGAGCACCCCTCCAGGTCTGGACATGACAGTGAGGGGGAAAAAGAGAAAAGAGGTAGGAGGAAAGGAATCGCTGGGTCAGAGTCACAGTAAAAGTGTCCTATTGGTACATTGTGAATGGTTAGGGAAAATAAAAAGGAAGAATAGGCTAAATGAAATCTAAAGGAGTAATTTAAAGAAAGAGAAACTCACACTTCTTCAGCTGGAGGTGTGGCTCCTACCTGGGCAGCCTGTGAGGTGGGTCTGTCATTTTGGAGTTGAATTAGCAGAGGGGGGGCGGTGAGGTCCTGACCTCCTTACATTCTTCATTTTCCAGGTGATGAAGGCTGTCCAGGTGGAGAGGACCTCCCCCCTAATGGCTGAGGGGAGGAAGCTAATGTTCCAGAGGAGTGATGGTGAGTATGCAGGTAGGTATTTCATGCTCAGGATGATGGTTATGAGTCTGTTGGTTCTGGTTCCTGTTAGGGGTTGGGGTTAGGTTTATGTAATTTATCTCAAGGGTTCCCCCCTTAGTGGTCCTTTGACTGCACTTCGGTTTGGTGTGGGGATGAACCAACGGCAAGGCACTGGCCGGCACATGTCACCTTTCACAGCGCCCCCCCCCCCCCCC